ACAGACCTCTCTCTCTCTCTCTCCAAGCAAGGGAAACAAGGCATAGTCTACAAACCAAGCCAAAACACAAAGAGTTCAGAGGCCCGGAGGCAAGGCACTCAGCTGAAAACTCTAGAAACTCAAAACGAGCACAAACATACGCAATCATTGAGCGTTCAATCAATGACGTCTGAGTCTTAAGGTCGGTCAAAAATGGGGTGTCTACAATTAGCATCAGAGATCAAATCTCCAAAAAGCCCGTCTGTTGGAGAATCCAACGACGAAAACCAATCGAAGAACTTCGACATTAAATCTTCTTCTTCACCTAACATCTTCAGTGGTTAAACACAAACCAGCATAGAGAGAGTCGACAACAAACAAAAAACACCCATTAATTCCAAAACTTAACTTTGCTATTAAAACTTTCTCACTGTTAACTTCAAATTTTGGTTTTCCTTTCCTCCTCTCTTATAATTCGACGACTGATTAAACCCCAATTGTAGGGCCACGCTTATGTGAAATATTTAGTAAAAAATTTCATAACATTTTTGAGATCTCTAATATTACTTAATTGAAAAACAAGAAAAAAAAGATATTATGTGATGTTGTCACTGCATCCATGGACCTTGATTTCGAAGTAGTTGGTTATCAGTCAAATTTAATCAAACCCATAGCAAGAGACTCACCATCGAAGTACTAATGAAGCTCAGCCATATGCCACAAAAGAGCCTAACGTTGAACGGAGTATAGTGCGATGTCTCAAAGAGAGCCAGCTAAAAAATCAGTTATTTTTCGCACCTCCTATGATTCAAATCTAGGTCATCCCTGTGGACAGAACTGCATTCTCTACTAGACTACCACCCTCGGTGGTGTATTGAAAAATGTTTGATAGCACTAATTGGATACTCCCAATTCACCTCTAATGATATAAAATAGATTATGTAAAGGGATGGACCCACACTCCTCTTCCTTTCTCTCTCTATTTGTCTCTATTTTGCCCCTCCAACTTGACATTCATCAACATTTTTTGTTAGTATTTTAAAAATGTTTTGATAAATGTCAAGTAATAAATAGTATAAAATATACCAAATACTCACTCTGGTTTTGCTCAACAAACATGAGTGCAAAAGAAGTAAAAGGATTTTTTTTTATTAAGTAAATTACACTTTTCATTTAGTGTGACCTAAATTTTATTTTGGTTATTATTTTAATTTAAATAATTTGATACATACACTTTAAATTTAATTTTAATTTGATTCTTTCATCAAAATTTTCTTAAATTTTTTTTTTTCTATGTGTACAACTTAAGAGATTAACAAGTGTTCCAAAAAAAAAAAATTAACCTACAACTTGAATTAAATAACTAAATTAAAATTGGAATTAAAATATAGGGGCCAAATTATTCAATTTGAAACAATAAAAATCAAAGTTAAATTTATATCAAACAACAATAATTAAAATATAATTTACCCTTATTTTTTCATCAAATTTGTGTAAACAATTGGTGGAAAACTTAATGTAAAATGTACCAATCCAATTTCTACTTTAATTATATATTTTTCATCAAATATTTTTAAAAAATTTAAGTTTATCTTAAAGAAAAACCATTTTAATCATTCATTTCCAATTTTTACTCATTTTAAAATTTTATCAAATTTAAGTAATAGTAGTTATAAATAATTAATTTTGAATTGGGAGCTTTTTTGATAAATCCACTTTCTAAGAGTTTTATTCCATCCAACCCATATTCTTTTTGGCTATTCCATTAGGTCCTATTTGAGATAAGAAGACCAAAATACCCTTTTCATCTACTTATGTTCTATTTAGTTCACATTATTTTCTTATGTTTCAATAAGTCCTATGGGTGACATAATTACCAAAATATCCTAATGTGAATGTTCATCTCGTCAATGTATAGGGGCCCGGTCCATGTCGATCCTCGTGGGTGCCCGAAAAAATTCGAGTTGGGCCGGCGTGGGCCCGGCCCGTTGACAATGTGAATATTCACATTGACATGTTAACATTCACATTAATAGGAGTGTAAAATTGGTCCGCGTCCCGTGGCAGCGCAAAACCCGCCCGCAGCCCATGGGCGGGCCTGGTACGGCTTGTTGACAATGTGAATATTCACATTGACATGTTAACATTCACATTGATAAGAGTACAAAATTCGCCCGTGGCCCATGAGCGACCAAATGCCCGCCCGCAGCCCGGCCCGCTGACAATGTGAATATTCACATTGACATGTTAACATTCACATTGATAGGAGTATAAAATTAGCTCGCGCCTCGTGGCTGCCCGAAATCCACCCACGACCCGTGGGCTGCCCGGGGCGGGCCTGGCCCGGCCTGTTGACAATGTGAATATTCACATTGACATGTTAACATTCACATTGATAAGAGTACAAAATTGGCAAGCGGCCCAAGACGGGCCCAGCCCGGCCCGTTGACAATGTGAATATTCACATTGACATGTTAACATTCACATTGATAAGTGTGTAAAATTGGCCCGCAGCTCGTGGGCGGCCCGAAGCCCGACCGCAGCCCGAGGCGAGCTTGGCCCGACCCGTGACAATGTGAATATTCACATTGACATATTAACATTAACATTGATAGGAGTGTAAAATTTGCCCGCTGGCCGAAGTTTGCCCGCGGCCCGGGGTAGGCCAGGCCCGGCCCGGCCCGTTGACAATGTGAATATTCACATTGACATGTTAACATGCACATTGATAGGAATGTAGAATTGGCTCGTGGCCCATGGGCTGCCCGAAGCCCGCCCACGGCCCAGGGCAGGCTCATTTGGGTCTGGGCCCGAGCATGTCTAAGACCCTAGGCTAGGGCCTAGGCCATCACTTTGAAGCCTGGCTCGGCCCATCAGCCCACTTAAGGCCCATTCAAGGCTCGGTCCAAGGCCCAGCTCGCTCGAGGCGCGATGTCTTTTTTTGTGGAAAATAATAAAATTTTGGTAGAAAAAATTAAAAAAAAATTTAAAAAATGACCAGGCTCGCCCAAGCCCGACCTAAGCTCGAGGCTAGGCCCAAGCCCACTGGCCCGACCCGAGGCTCGATCCATCAGCCCATCTAAAGCCCGAATACCCTTGTGCCAGGGCTAGGGCCTGGGCCTAATTTTTTGGCCCATGGGCCGAGCCGAGCCGAGCCGAGCCGGATTTTTTCGAACACCCATGAGGCTCGATATGGGCCGGCTCAGGCCTCTACGCATTGATGATATGAACATTCACATTGACGATGTGAACATTCACATTATGCGTATTTTGGTAATTATGTCTTCCATAGGACTTATTGAAACATAAGAAAATAATGTGGACTAAATAGAATATAAGTAGATGAAAATAGTATTTTGGTCTGCTTACCTCAAATAAGACTTAATGGAATAGTCAAAAAGAACGTAGGCTGCCCGAAGCCCACTCGTGGCTCTAGAAAGGCTCGTTTGGGCCCGGGCTCGAGCCTAGTCCGAGACCCAAGGCTAGGGCCTGGGCCATCACTTTGAAGCCCGCCCCGGCCCATCAGCTCGATTAAGGCCCATTCAAGGCTCGGTCCGAGGCCTGGCCCACGCCGAGGCCTAGTGTCTTTTTTTGTGAAAAATAATAAAATTTTGGTAGAAAAAATTAAAAAGAATTAAAACAAAAAAGGCCAGGCCCACCCAAGCCTGAGGCTAGGCCTAGGCCCATCGACCCGACCCGAGGCTCAACCCACCGGCTCGAGCCCGGACCCAAACGAGCTTGCCCCGGCCCATAGGCAGGCTTCGAGCAGCCCACGGGCCGCGGGCCAATTCTACATTCCTCTCAATGTGCATGTTAACATGTCAACGTGAATATTCACATTGTCAACGGACCGGGCTGGACCTACCTCGGGCAGCGGGCAAATTTTACACTCCTATCAATGTTAATGTTAACATGTCAATGTAAATATTCACAATGTCACGGGTAGGGCTACGGTCGAGCTTCGGACCGCCCACGGGCTGCGGGCCAATTTTACACTCTTATAAATGTGAATGTTAACATGTCAATGTGAATATTCACATTGTCAACGGGTCGGGTTGGGCCCGCCCTAGGCCACTGGTCAATTTTATACTCTTAACAATGTGAATGTTAACATGTCAATGTGAATATTCACATTGTTAACAGGCTGGGCCGAGCCCGCCCCAGACCGCCCACGGGCCGTGGACAGGTTTCGGGCAGCCATGGGACGCGGGCTAATTTTACACTCCTATCAATGTGAATGTTAACATGTCAATGTGAACATTCACATTGTCAACGGGCCGGGCCAGGCTCACCCCAGCCGCGAGGGGGGGCTTTTGGCCGTCCATGGGCCGCGGGCCAATTTTATACTCTTATCAATGTGAATGTTAACATGTCAATGTGAATATTCACATTGTCAACGGGCCGGACCGAGCTCGCCCCGGGCCGCCCATGGGCCGCCGGCGGGTTTCGCGCTGCCACGGGACGCGGACCAATTTTACACTCCTATTAATGTGAATGTTAATATATCAATACGAATATTCACATTGTCAACGGGCCGGGCCTGTCCCGGCTCGCGGGCGGGTTTCGGGCCGCCCACGAGCCAATTTTACATTCCTACCGATTAATGTGAATGTTAATATATCAATATGAATATTCACATTGTCAACGGGCCGGGCCCGTCCCGGCTCGCGGGCGGGTTTCGGGCCGCCCACGAGCCAATTTTACATTCCTACCGATGTGAATTTTAAAATATGAATATTCACATCATAAAATTGCTAACCGTTCAAAAAATATTTATAAAGGTATCAAAATTAAATATAAGGGCATAAGTATCCAAGAAAATTGTGTAAATCAAGAAAAAAGGATTTTATGGAATAAAACTATACATACATGGGACTAAATGGGTTAAAAAATTCTTTCATAAATTTCTTGGATTAAAACACTTCTAAATAGGATTTATCAATAAAAATTCCTTTTGAATTTTACGTGTCGCAAGGTTATGAAATAAAATGGACTCCAAAATTTTGTTCAATGCAGGAATGGACAGGAAAAGAAAAATATAGAACATAATAAATTGCCTTTTTTGCTTGCAAGTGTAGTTTCGAAGACAGGGAGTTCCATAATTCACACACACACAGCTTTTAGCATAAATATTTCAGAAATCAAAATCATCTTGGTTTGGCTTGGGTGAAGTCAACAAAGCAGTATAAAGCCTAAGCCTGTCCTCCCCTAATGAAGAACACCTCGACAATGGTCTTCTGGGCCTAATAAACGATAAAGAAGTGAGTGTCAATCGATGTTTATACCTCCTCCATGCCAACTGAATTGCCACTGCTGCCCAAGTTCTCCATCCAGGCGAATAGTATCTCGCGCTCCTCTTCACTTTCTCGTTCACGAATGTGTATCGAAAATGTTGGGTCACATATTTCACGTCTTCGGCTTCTAATCCGAATGCCTCTGTGGTTTCGAAAGTGAGCAGTGTCGATGAAGACGGTGGAAGTCGTTCGACAAAGGGTCTTCGGAGACACCATGACAAAAGCTCGTCGCCGCTGAAGTTTCCAGGGCCTAACATGCAGCAGCTTTTCACACCGTCTCGGAGTACTTGGCTGCTTTGGAGATGACCCCTTACTACAAATAGCATTCTTTGAACTGGGTCACCTTCTCTGGTTATCTGCATTAAAAATGTCTATTATGAACACAAGTGTCCTAGTCAGGAATTCTCGAATGCACAGAATTTTGAAACACGTGAATTTCGATAGGGACCAAGAAAATGTTAGGACAGAGGTTTCCGTGCTTACAGAGTGCCCGCTATTCAAATTTCTTTAACAAATTTTCATAATTTTTGTACTAAAATAGCACTACTCTTTAATAAATTTGTAAAGAAATTGAAACTTAAAATTCAACAATTGAAACTTACTGTTTCCCCCTTTGTGAATATGAGGGACTTCACGCGGTCACAGATATTCTCTAAGACGAGATTATCCATATGTTGAAACAGAGGTACCTGAAAATAGAGTTGGAAGGTACTTACTAAAACTCACACATTTATGTCCACCAATGTTCCCAAATCTTTTATTCATCCATCTGAAAACTCTGAAGTTGTGTTTTGTTGGAAAATTTGAAAATAGAAAGGGAAAAAGTGTATGAAATTATATGAAATATAAATATATTTTATTCATATTTCACTTAAATTTTCTCTTTCTCTTTCCAAATTTCTTAACAAATTCCCCAATCAAATACAGCGTTACAATTATTGAATTATGTGAGAATTTAAAAAAATTAAAATCTCAAGATATAATTCAATAATTGTGAGTATTTGGAGATAAGAGAAGTGAAGAATTTAAAAACAGAGAATCTTGTGATCTAATTTCAAATCTTCTTGTTTTTGAGATGCCTATCGTCAAATATTATAAATTATGGTTAGGGAATTGGAGATTTTTCATAATCAATATTTTTGCTCTCTTATACTTAGCTTTCGTTTGGGAAGTGGGTTGACATTTTGACTTTTTGATTCTTTTAGTTTTTTTTGTGAGAGAATAGTATAATGATTATGGATTGAATATGATGTTTTGTTTTTTTGTGGCTAAAATAACTTATTTTGCCATCGTTTGGCAAGTTGGTTTATGGGTTTTTTTTGACTATTTTAGCCACAAAAGACAAAATAGGTTATTTTAACCATAACAAACAAAACATCGCATCCAAACCATAATCATTACACTCTTCTCTCACAAAAAAGTCAAAAAAGCCAAAAAGTCCTTCCCAAACCAAACTTTTTAGCCCAGGCTAAAATAACAAAAAAAGTCAAAAAGTCAAAAAGTCAACTCACTTTCCAAACGAAACTATCTTTTGTGGCTAAAATAGCTAAAAAAAAACCCCAAATCCATCTTCCCTATTTTGTTTTACTTTCAATCATATAATGTGTAATCGAGCAGCTTAAAATGCAAGCTATCTTTATATATATGATCCTACGTCATAAATTATTTATTCCAAAAATATATATGTATATTTTGTAAATTTGTGTTTTTTTTTTTTTTTTTTTTTTTTTTTTTTTTTTTTTTTTGTGTTACCTGTCTAACCAAGTCTAAGCAGAGATGGTATTTGATGTCCCTCCTCAGGCCTTCAGGGAGGTTGCGGATCATCTCGCATTCATCCACACCGCGCATTGCAGCCCAACGCTGCCTTTCGTAATTACGGACTCTCTGCTTGAAAAGAGGAGGCAAGCGTCTCCTCCTCATCCACCACTCTATATTCCTCATCTTCAATTGCATTGCCTGTTTCTTTGATGTTGTTGCATGCAAAAACACCTGTATATATGTATAATGTATATTGTATTTCCATATTCACATTTGAGGGGTTGTTTGACACGGTTTATTTTATGTATGAAAAAATCTAGGAATATAGGAAATAATCATAAAATCAGACATAATCTTCTCACATAATGTGTGTTCTATACCAATGTGAAATGATTGTATCTGAATCGATGATTGATTTTTGTATTCACAAAATATTGCTACACATACATAATTTCTATACAAAGGAGAGGATAAATTAGATTTTTTGTCACTACAGTTTGACTCTAATTTAATTTTGGTTCCTATTGATAAGACATTTTTTAATTCATTCATCTTATTTTGGTTCCTATTAATATAACATTTTTTAATTCATTCATTTTAAGCTAAAACATTTATTATTATGACTAATTATAAAAAAATATATATATATTAGTCTCATTATTCTAAATAAAAAAAATATTTGTGAATTATTTTTTTCATTCACAAAACACAGGGGCCTCCAAATGCCATACAAAACAAAAATATGGGCCTCGAGGTTCATTCACTATGCTTGGTTTCACTTTTCAAAAAATACTTTTTGAAAAATTTACTTTTCTTATTTTTCGTGTTTTTTTGTTTTTATTGATTTTTTTTTAATATTTTAAGTAATTTTTAAAATTTTTAGACATACCTAACTTAGATGTATCTAAAAAGTAAAAAAATTGTGAAGAAAACCTTTTAAAAATTCACTAAATACCCAAAATATAAAAAAAAAAATACGAGAATTTAGTATATTTTTTGTACTTTTATGTATTTATTAATTTTTTAAAATATTTTTTCACAAATTTTTTACTTTTTAAATACATTTAAGTAAGGTGCATCTAAAAAGTCAAAAAAAATGTTTAAAATTTAAAAATATTCACTAAAAACAAAAAAATACGAAAATCAAAAAGCTTAATTTTCAAAAAATTTAATTCAAAAAATCCAAATCAAAGACATTAATTATTATGTGATGATGCAGTGTACAAGAAGAGGACCAAAACATGAACCTCTCTTGGACTATTATTGTCCGGTGCCATTATTATCTGAACACGCTGTACAAGAGGACTTTTTTTGTTTTTTATTTTGTACTAAAAATATGACAGTAGCTGAAATAGTGGTCCATTTACATAGTGGCTTAACTTCCATAAGGATACTAAAAATAAAAATAAAAATTTGTCAACACAAACTTTTGAAACAGTAATAGACAAGAGTAAATATTCCAAGGACAAGTCTTTAATGTGTTCAAAGTTGCACACAATATAATTATATCTCCACCAAGTCAATGGGATCTCAATCACTTATAATGTAAAAGACATGTTGAATGGTAAAAAATGATATCCACGTAATAAGGTGTGAATCATGTGCACCGTTTTGGAATGTACATTCATTTTATGTTTCATATCACGCACAATTATTTGGGATTGACATCATAGAATTTTCCAATTAGTCTTGATTCCAATCATTATTTACAAAAATGGAGTGGCTGCTGTGCGGGACACAACAGTCACTACTGTGCAGTCATATGAACTCGAAATTGTGCAGTCATATGAACTCATTTTGAGACTCGTTTTTATGATCTAAATCGTTCATATTTTAGTATATATCAATTATAATATATCTGTCAAAAATTAAGTTAATCAGATATCATTAACCCTTTTATCTACTCACATTTATATTCATTTTTATACTTTAAATTACAATTATCATTTATTTTTCTAGATACAAATACAATTTGATAAAATGGTTAACGATGCCCAATTAACTTCATTTTTTACACCTATATTATACTCAATGTACTGCAAAATATGAACAATTTGAATTATTGAAAAATTTCTTGAAATGAGCCCAAATAGCTGTACAACAGTGGCTGATAGAGTTATGATAATGTCCCAACTATATCATTGCTCTTGACTTCCCATGGCCTTTGAATTATCTTCAGAGAAGTCATTTTTAGGTACAATATTCTCTACTTTTGTGAGCATAAGTAAAATATATTCTGTGGTTGGTTAAAACAGTATAATCTTCAATTTTAAATGAGGTCGGTCACATTTTAAATTGGATAAATTACTCTTTTAAAATATGTAGTTTGACTCCTTTCTTTATTTTTAAATTCGCTGTATAGTTATTAATTTTTATTTTTAACTTAAAAGGATGGCACTGAATTAAAATTAGACTTAAAATATAGAAATTAAATTATTCAATTTAAAATAATAAAAACCAAAATAAAATTTAAATCAAATTACATAAGTTAAATGTATAATTTACTTTTTAACAGGATACATCAGGCAATTTCAATGAATGACAAAAGTGTGTTTGTGAAAAAAACAGTTTTCAAAGGTGATGGAAACTATGATTATTCAAAAGAGAGAATTAAAAAGTGAAGATTATACCTTGATGTTTCCAATCAACATGGTGACCAAAAGGAGCCCAGTCGTGAGAACTATAATAATGAAGACAACTTCTAACCAATCCGTTGTGCTCTCCAAGTTGCCAAAAGTACTGTTTCATATATCAATTTCTATCAGATTTACGTTAGGTTTGTATTATAATTTTTTTTTAAAAATAGTGATAATTTTTATTTATATTTAACTCATCTTCTTTTTTTTTTCTTTGCCTACATTTATAATCTAAACACAATTCTATAGATCATACAAAATATAAATTTTCAATAATTTTATTAAAAAAAAATCCCTAAAAATTTAAAAATAAATATCAGATAAATGAGAATAGATAAAATTAATTAAAAATTAGTGGAATGCAATTGAGACATATCTGGCATCCACTTAATATTATTAATTTATAATTGTTTTTTTATACTTCCACCAATACGATATTCCCCTAAAATAGTTTATAGTAAAAGCATTTTCAAACAAAGTTAGAATAGGCAAATGCATAAGGAACCGAATTGTCTCCCATCTACTACATGGGGTGCAGCTTCGACATATCTAGTTTGGGTTCACTATAAGTTCTACTTTAATGATCTATTTAGTTTATTTCGTAAATCTTTATATCTAAATCATTCACTAAAAATTAAATTAATTTAAATTATGTAATTATAATTATTAAATTAATTTAATTTTTTCATTAATAAGCTACCCTCTTAGAATCTAGGAGGGGGGGGGAATCAAATTATTGGAGTGAGAAGCCTAGTAGGCTTGGCATTGATTATTATTATTATTGAATTTCGTGTAAAAAGAAGTGTTTCAAAGTTTTGAAAATCAAAGAAAATGACATCTCAAGAAAAAGAAAATCGATGAAAATGTTTCAATTTTCTTTTTTGAAACCAACGAAAAGTATTTTAAAAGTTAAAAAAAAGTATATTACATTATTCACGTGTTAGCAAGATCCAAAAAACAATATATAGCATTACCCAAAGAAAAATATATATATATATATACCTTAGAGTCATGAGGCCCCAAAAGATAGGAAAGAGAATCTTCTCCAAACGGCTTTCATTGGCAACAAGTTGAACAGTCCATTTATAAGCTCCAAAATCAAAATTATCATCATTGTCTAGGCATGCAATTCTGGCTTGCTTGTTATCCCCCCAAACCAGTCTTGCTCTATCTCTCACCAAGCTTGTTGTTCCATAATAAATGGGCTCTTCACAAGCCAATATTCTCAGTCCACACCCCTTTGTTTCTCTACATTGCTCTCTCAAACACTTTGCTGCCCTCTGGATTCCTAACAAGTACCAACATGCTCCCACTGCCTGCACATTGTACACAAGGTTTAAAGTTTATCGTCAAATAGTCTGTTTGGCTGTGTTTTTTATTTTTTCATTTTATTTTTTAAAACAAACGATAAAAATTTTTAAAATACTCATCGATTCAAAAACAACTTCCTCACTCTCTCTTAAAACAATTTTCCTTGTGAAGACTCCGGATCATCTGTGACTAAATTATAAAGTTAATTCTAAAGTATTATTTATATGAGAAAATTACAATTTACCACCTTAACTAAATATATATATACATGGCTCACATGTCATCTTTCTGCCCTATTTCATAGTAAATAAAATGTTAACAGAAGGTGAAAGTTGAGATTGAAACAAATTAATGAGCAAAATGTAGCAATTTTTCAATTGAAGAGATAAAGTTGGTAGAGTTTTGGACAATGGGACAGGGAATGGGGAGGGATTTCACCCCATTTTCAACACGTTAATCACAGTTAAAAGAGATGTTGTCGTTTTCACCCCTAGGCAAATTTGTACTCCACTTCTTATCAATGTATTATTCCTTTTGTGGACGATGTAAGTGAAAAAGATCACAAGCATGTTAATATTGATTTGAAACAAAGTTTTAACTTTCAACTTTAAATAACAAGACAACCTCGAAAGGGATTTTTGATATATATATATTCTCTCTCTTGTATAAAAAAGTATGTGATTATTAGGATTTTGTATTTACCAAAACATGAGCACACGTTTATATTTTATTTTTGGAGGTTTGGAAAGAGAGTTGGATTAAAATAACTTACTAAAAAAAAAATTTAAATGAGCCCAAAAAATGTCACATCTAATTCATAATCATTTCATTTTTTGTCTTATAACTATCAAATCAACTACAAAAAGACAACTAATTTCCCAAACATAACTATTTTAGACAAATTAAAATAATTAAAAAGTCAAATAACTAACTAAAAAAACCAACTTCCTAAACAAGACGTTTAAACCCGGAAGTCTAGTTAAATCAAAATGAGAAAAGATAGGGATCATGAAAAAACTTTCATGAAATTGGTCATGAAAAATTTATGACTCTTGAATTATCTTGATTAGTGTGTAGTGCTTTATTTTAAGTGTAATCCAAAGGTCATAAATTTTTCATGATCATTTTCATGAAAATTTTTTCATAATTCATTGCTCAATCAAAATAATGCATAATCTTTAAAGAAGCGGAAAAAAAACGAGAGACAGATATAAGTAAGCTTACATGCGATGCGACAAAATATGCAATCATGTTGAGGGCGATCCCCCACCAAACAGTGCCGAATATGTAACCAGACAAGTTTTGCATGCGACGCAAGAGGCAAACCGAGTGGTAAATTTTGGGGAGATATTGGAAGAGAAACATGATTAAGAATATCGTCATCACAACAGTTGTTGATCCCCTTTCCAACAAGGCCGGAATAGCTACCCATAGTACTACCTGCATTGTGTTCATATTGCTTTAGCATTATTCATTATCAAGTAAATCACGTTATCACATGACATATGTGGAGACAAGAATAAAATTTCATATAACCCTACCCAAAAACAAAAAGAAGTGGTTTTTAATGTTCGGACAAAGAAATTATCTTTTGAAACATATCCCGAGGTTTTGATTATTGTTCTAGATATTTTGCATGATAAAAAAAATTAATAAAAATGAAAGTTAGACAGGGGTTGATATTGTTGCTGTTTTTTTTTTTTTTTTTTGAAACATAGGCAAAAATATGAACCAGTCTACTATCTTAAAATGAAAAAGAATTTATACCACAATCGGTAGCAAGAACCTCCTAACCTGTGTGTAAAATTTATTAAGTAAATGTTTTTAAATTGTGTTGTTTTCAAAATTTTGCCCAAATAATTAGTCAAGAAATTTTTTTGGGGTGTAATTTGAAAAATAAAAATAGTAACCAAAAAAGAAATATAATGCCAAATAGACCATTATTCTTTCTTGTAATCATTTAATTGCACCAGACAGCCATCAGCCATTGGGAAAAGATTATCGACGTGAGAAAGAAAGTACAAACTCTCTTACTATTACAACTCGCATTCCACAGAACCAAGAGTGCTAGTGTCACTACTTTGTGAAAACTACAATGTATAGGTTATCTATTTTCAGTATACAAACCAAAGACGTCCATCAATTTTTTCTTTCTTTCTTTCACAAGAGAGGATACACTCTTTTCTTTGGAGCTCCTTCCAAACCAATTCAATCCAGAAAACAAAAATAATAGATTAAATTTACCCATTATACCCCTTCTAAGGTTGAAGAAAAGACACAGTCTCATCACATGCTCACAGTGCAACGTATGCATATGCATACAATAACTGCAGTGCTGACTGCATTTGTCATCTCCTCAAACACTAGTGTACAAACCTCAAAGCAACTTCACTCTATCTGCGGAAATGTATCGAAACTTTGAACTTTCAACAGTGATATATCAATTGGTACTATCTAATAGATATGGTATCACCGATATGAAAATTTTGAACTGATAATGATGATGATATCGTTGATCATGAACTTGATGTATAATTGCAATCATTAATGACTGATATTAAAATTCTCACCAAAAATAGAGTAATGCTACGCATCATGAAAAGAATATCATGAAAAGTTTCATGAAACAAATCCAAAGGTGATTGTATAACATACAATAAAATATTACAAACACTATAAACTAATCCAAGGGTGGAGATTCTTCATGAAGACTTTTCATGATACTTCTTTCATGATACTTAGTATTCTTGTTAATTAAAATAGTTGAGCCAAGAGATATAATGCAACTTTTTACTTTTTGTACTGATAGCAGTACAAGACTTAAAGGGGGAGACACCGCAAGAAGGACCTTCTACTTTGATAGAACATGGTAAGCTGATCGTCATGATATAAGTGTAGGCATTGATGTGAAATTGAAACTTTTGCAAGAGCCATTATATTTTGGAAAGAAGAATTAATTGCAAATAAGATATGCAATTGATTTGCAAATCTTTTTATTTTATTTCATTTATTTTATGTTTGCCATTTATATTATATTCTCAATATATTTACAGGTTCAACATGACAATTTTATTCGATGATGAAGGTTTAAATCCCATCATTTAGTGTGCAACACGGATTCTCTAATTACAACCAAGTGTCACTTGATTGCTAGTTTCACATGTAGAATATATCCAAGACTATTAATGATATATATATTATCAAAAATATTTTCTATAGTTTGGTTTTATTAGAAAACTTAATTATTTGAATTACAAATATCCAATGATAGTAAATTAAATTAGGCGACCCAAATTTTAAACATGACATAATTTAGAAGAATTTTAGATGTATGCAAATAACATGTATGAAGGGGAGCTCATTCTTGTGAAACCCTTCTCATTTCTTTTAGCTCAACCTTTTAATTAGGAAGAATGAGAAAAAAAGGAAAATATTTGTAAAAAAAAAAATAAATTAATTGGTTACCCACATAAATAATAAATTTGCAAGTAGTTTCATTTCTTTTTTTTATATTCCTTTCCCTCTGCAACGGCTATCATAGTCTCAGTGAAGAAGAATTTTAGATGTGGAAACAATATGAATGAACGTAAATTACACTAAGGTTAATAAGTCAAAAGAATCTCCCTCACAAAATGCCACTACCTTTTGGAAAAATTATTAGATGATTTTCTATAATCATCTGACATTGTCTACGTCGGATTCCTGATAAATAAAAAATTGCAATCCCACATGAAGTGGATCATTCTTTATCTACAAACTACCTAACAAAGGTGAATTATTGTATCCCACCTAAGGTTGCAAACTAACCGAACTATTAGCTTGAATTTGGCTCGTTTGAAACTCATTTGAGCTTCGTTCGCTTATTAAATGAATGAGTTTGGGCTTGATTTTTAGGTTTGTTTATTAATCGAGTTGAGCTTGAGTAACCCCAAACTCGGCCTTATAAGGCTTGTGAATATAAAGAAAATAAATTAATATATACTTTTAACAATATATCAAATAAATTTTCATTAATTTATTTTATTTGTTTATTTGTATTTGATTTTTACGTAAATTTACATATTTGATTGATGGCATTTATTATTAATATTTTATTGTACATTTCGTTCATAATTTTCTTTTTCTTTTTTATTTTAGTAAGTAAATTTTTTTGGGTAAGTATTTAATTAGTAAATTAATTCCAGTGTATTTTTTTTAAAGCTTGAGTTCAATATCAAACTCGGCTTGTTTATGTAATCAAGTTAGCTCGAGCAAAGCTCGAGTTTATCAAATATTTGATGAGTTGAGCTTGAACTCCGCTAATTCTTAATAAACGAGATTGAACACTCAAAAGCTCAGCTTAGCTCGGATCGGCTCATTTGCAACCCTAATCCTACCCATAAGATTTCCCGCTACACCATTAGTTTGAACTACCACACATGGTGCTCCAGGATATGAAATAAAGAAATCAGCACAACAGAACTTATAAAATCTTATAATTAAATGTAAAAGAGATAAAGATTCATGTAACTTTCCACTTCACAATTTTTGCAGGACAAAATTTTAAAGGGAAGACATTGCTAGGGCAATCTTCTAGTTCAACAGAACATGGTAAGCTCGTCAGCATGATAAATCTATGGGAAAATTACCATTCAGTGTGCTTTTAGGAAAATAAAGTACGCATTCATTGAAAAAAGGAAAATACTTTGGACGCCCAATGGGGTGACCCCCACGACCCCACTGATTTTTGATTGTATAATTTTTTTTTTTTTTTTGACCTTGCCCTCACAGCCCCCCCACGTGGAGGTGGGGGTGCTGGAGATCGCCCCCCACTGGGGTCCCCAACAGGGCTCTTGAAAAAAGAACCATGATAGAGACCCCCTCCAATCACCACCCCCAGACGCACGTGGCGGGTGATGATTGGAGGAGCAGGAAAAAAAGAAAAAGAAAATGTAACCGATGAGAGAGACGGGGGTCAAGGGGGAATAAATTATGATTTTAATAATTAATATTGATATAGGTTATCATTTATATGTAATTAATTTTGTAAATTTCCAGTGGTGAGTAATTTTCCCAAAATTCGTAAAGTACATCTTTCCACTGAACTACAGCCAATGTTGCTTTTACTTGATTAAAATCCAAAGCAATGTAATTTCAATTGTCTTTTGAAATTCCAGTACATTGTATATTTCATTGCATCCTTCTTGAGAAGCCATGGCTATGGCTATATCCTCCATTGACATTATTTGATTCCATTTTCTCCTAATAAAAATAAATATTATGAGTTCCCTTATGAATGTTGTTGATCTGAGCTCAGCTAACTTATCTCATAAATTCTTTATTTACAGAATTAACTTATCAATCATCTTCTGATGCTTGTTCAATCCATGGAATAGTTGAACTCAAGCCTGAAAATGAGACTGATACCCAGTTGAAGATGGAAACAATGCTCTCAAAAATGAATTCATGCGGTGGAGATGTCATTGATTTGGAGCAGGAAAACTCTCCCTCGCCTACTCTGAACACAGTGAAGAAGCTTGAGTTGAATCCAGTAGTGGCCCCCAACTCCAAGGCTCTGACTGAACAATCACAAACTAGTCCTCTTCTTACAGTAAGCTATTTATTATATACTATGATAGATCAAACTTTCTTCATTCATGTGAAGTGATACGTTCTAAGGCTGTGTTTTGATCACGGATTTGGGTAATGATTTGAAAAAGGGAAAGGAAAAGGCGAGGGAAATTTTCTCTTTTAAAATTTCTATCCAAATCCATGATCTAAACACAGTATAATTGTTTAGTTTTGGTTCATTGGAGGAGGGGGAGTTGAACTTGTGCCATCCTAATGATGAACACCGTTCTGTACTAACTGTTTCCTCGGACATTGTCACAGGAACAACTCACTGATGGTCCATCTGTTGGAGAGAATAATCCTGATCACCTTCAAGCTCCCTTAGATTCTATGCCAAATGAGGATGATGGTGTGGAAGATACATTTGCCAATCCAGATAATAACTTGGACCTGATCAAATATGAGCAACTTGGTTAAGACATCGGCTAATTGATCTTCAGATTTTACGAATGGAAACGTAATGATTCCAGCATCAAGTTTCTCCTTAATGAAATGCCTACTTCCACATGTTTCGTTCGATCATGTTGAATTGGATTATGAGCAATTGCTATGGCTGAAGTATTATCACAATATAATTTCATCGTTTCTTGGGGCTTGATACCTAAATCTCATAGGATATTCCTCAACCATAACAGTTCACATACTCCAAGAGCCACGCCTCTATATTCGGCTTCTGTACTCGACCTTGCTACCACTGGCTGCTTCTTACTTTTCCAAGTCACCAAATTTCCCTCAACAAAGGTAAAGTTATCCAGAAGTAGACCTTCGATCATTTGCTGAACCAGCCCAATCTGCATCAGTGTAGCCTTCTACTTTCAATCTGTCATTTTTGGTGAAAAGTAATCCTTTCCCTGGAGCAGACTTTAGGTATCGCAATATACGTTCCACAGCGTCCATGTGGGGTTTACGGGGATCATGCATGAACTGACTAGTTACATCCATTGCATATGCAATATCGAGTCTGGTATGGGACAAGTAGATCAATTTTCCCACAAGTCTCTGGTACCTTGCTTGATTCGTAGGGGCTACATCCGAGCATCGAAACAAGTTATGGTTTTGTTCAATAGGAGCACTTGCGGGTTTATATCCAAGCATCCCTGTTTCTATTAATATATCAAGGATGTATTTCCTTTGGGATAAGAAAATACCATTCTTTGATCGGGCTACTTCAATACCAAGGAAGTATTTTAAGTCACCAAGTTGTTTCATCTCAAACTCCGAGGCTAAGTGTCGTTGTAGATTCTCCATTTCTTCTTGATCATTCCCTGTCATCACCATATCATCAACATAGATAATTAAAGCTGTGATTTTACCTTTTCTATGTTTTAGAAACAAAGTATGATCTAAATTGCTCTGTTTATAGCCAAACTTTTTCATAGACTTGGTGAATCTCCCAAACTAGGCTCGGGGAGATTGCTTTAATCCGTACAACGCCTTCTTGAGTTTACAAACCATACTCTCATTTGCATATTCCTCTATATCCGATGGAGGGTCCATAAACACTTCTTCTTTGAGGTCTCCATGCAAGAATGCATATTTAACATCAAATTGAAGAAGTTTCCAATCCCAATTAACCGCCAAAGATAACAGTACTCTAACTGTGTTAAGCTTGGCCACTGGTGCAAAAGTATCTAAGTAGTCAATCCCATACGATTGAGTATATCCTTTCGCAACTAACCGAGCTTTGTATCTTTCAATGGTTCCATCTGCCTTGTGTTTGACTGCAAATACCCATCGACACACTATAGTCTTCTTCTCCTTCGGTAGAGGAACAGTTCCCAGGTCCCATTTTTCTTAAGTGCTGCCATTTCTTCTTCCATGGCTTGAGCCCACCTGACATTTGCTACTACTTCCTGTAATTTACTAGGAATAGAGACAGATGATAGCTGTAGTACATATGAAGCATATGACTCAGACAATCTTTTAGATGACACGTGATACCGATGGGATATTTAATTTTGGACTTAGGATCTGGTTCATACTTGACAGGAGGTACGCCACGATTAGAACGGGCAAGAAGATGATGTTGAGACACTTGAGAATCAAGGTTTATGATAGAAGTAGGATTAGTAGATACCTTTGAAGATGTCTCGGGAGAGGATTGATCCAGTGGTTGTATAGGACTATCTGGAGGTGTTGTACTATACTGGGTGATGTCTTGATCATCTTCTTCGTCAATCGGATCTCGAGCCATCTCATCAGAAATGACAGGAACTTCTTCAGCAAATTCGGGATCATTTTCAGCAAATTCGGGATCGTCAGCTGAGGATCGAGGAATCAAAATGGCTTGGGGTGTTGCATTTTCCTTTTCTCCAGTCATCATTGGCCTGTCAGGAAGAAGGAAAGCTTGTACATCTGTAGGATTTGGCACTTCTTCATAATTCTCCCCCTGAAGTAATAAATCAGCAGTAGTGGATGTATAGAAAAATTATGTTTCATCGATAACAATATCCATGGAAGTATATATTTTGTGAGAAGACGGGTCATAACACCGATAGCCCTTTTGATGAGTTCCATAGCCCACAAACACACACTTTTTTGCACGGGGTTCAAGCTTAGTTCGTTGGCGAGGATGGAGATGAACATATGCCACACAACCAAAGATGCGAGGAGTTAAGAGAACGACTGGAGGAAGAGAGCAGTGATCTGAAAGTGCATCCAAGGGTCGTCGAAATGAGAGAACACTTGATGAGGTACGGTTGATTAGATAGACTGCGGAATTCAGAGCTTCACCCCATAAGTGAATAGGTACATGTCCATCAATTAAAAGAGACTGAGTGACTGCCAATAAGTGTCCATTTTTCCGCTCGGCGACCCCATTCTGTTGGGGGGTGTCAATGCAAGAAGTTTGGTGAAGAATTCCTACGGAGGCCATGAAGTCTTGGAGATCCCGTTTTACATATTCTGTCCCATTATCGGTACGGAGGACTTTGATTTGGATGCCGTACTAAGTAGATACCATTTGATAAAACTGTTGAAAAACGGAAGAGACATCACTCTTGTATTTCAATTGATGGACCTAAACCATGTGTGTGCAATCATCAACAAACATGACGAACCACCGCATTCCATTCAAAGTAGGAAGTGGGGCAGGCCCCCATACATCAGAATGAACTAATGCAAATGGAAAATTGGCTTTATTATTACTTAATGGGAAAAAAGTACGGTGGCTTTTGACCAATACACAAGTTTCGCATAGAAAATCAGAAGCCTTACAGCCACTAAACAATGAGGGAAATAATCGCTGAAGATAGTAAAAAGAAGGATGTCCCAATCGTCGATGCCATAGCCAAATCTCCGTTTTGTGTTTATTCACCAAATCCAAGTTGACGACATGAGCTTTTCCAGCCTTGTTGGAAGATAAAAAACCATTGTCCAGATAGTACAATCCTCTGTCTTGTTTACCACTGCCAATCCTCTCCTTGGTATGGATGTTCTGAAACAGACAGTGAGTAGGGGAAAATAGAACATCACAATGATGAGATTTGGTTAGTTGAGCAACAGAGAGAAGATGACAATTTAATGATGGCACAAATAAGACATTCGATATGGATAAGGTAGGGGATAGTTGAACTGTACCAACCCCCAAAACTTGAGATGATACCCCATTAGCATTAATAATGGTAGATTTAGGACATTTGGAGGAAAACTGACTAAACCGATAGCGATCACACGTCATATGTTTTGTTGCACAAGAGTCAATGATCTAATCACTATTACTAGTAAATGTCATACCTGACTGAGCAGTAAATGCCGAAGTAGTAGGAGATTTTACTTCTCGAGATGCTTTCTTATTCTAGGATGCAATGATGGATAGCATGGAGTTTTGAAACACGGAGTCGATGGCATGCCTGTAGGTTGCATCGTGAGTGCACACAGATGCTTTCTTAGGACAAGTAAGCAAGTTTTGTGAGCCACCATGGAAGTTGCTTATCTTGACCTTCCTGCACTTGATGCACTCAATTCTGTTTCTCTCAGCAAATCAGCTCCTTGACGAATAAGCTCTGCACACATCAGTGTCGCTTAAAACTGGTATGTATGTTTGGAAGTGGTTTGGGTAAGAAGAATAACGGCGCTCGGACCCATCTAATTGAGGATCAAGTCCAGCCAAGAAAATATACACACGCTGAGGAATTAATTTTCGTGTATACATATAAATATAAAATTATAATAATAATATATAAATTAATATAATATATTTTTTCAATATTAGGGGCATCCATAAGAGCTCCTCAATAGCATCAAGTTCTTGATAATTTCTGTAATTGCGAAATAAGATAATTGACCCTCCATTTTGCTGGAACAGAATTTATATCGCAATGTAATTGGTAAGCCTTGGAAGCATCTTGTTCAACCGCATATGTACTTTGGACAGCCTCCCATATTTCCTTGGGTAGCCGTAGCCGTAGAAACAGAGATCGGATTTCCTTCGTCATTGCATCAAGAAGCCAAGACTTGACCAAGTTATTTTCATCGTCCCATGCTTCATATTCTTCGGACATAGTATCCGCTGGTGCAGCCTTAACACCTGAGATATAACCCCATCGTTTTCGCCTTCGGATCTTAATCTCAGCGTTCAAAGACCACTCCAAATAATTGGTGCCATCGAGCCGTTCTGGAGCAATGGGACCAATATAAGTAGATTCCTGTATATGGAATCTGGTATGCACAGAGGAGGATTCACTTGATTTAAGAGGATCCTTACCACTCTCAATCAACTCAGTCATGGTGATAACAACACTTGATCTGCAGCAGAAACCGAAGAAAACAACCAAACGTGAGTACAGATTGACCTTTAATTCCTAGTGGAAAACCTAAGAGATTGAACTTGGCTCTAATACCATGACAAAGAACACACGTTTGAGAATGATTTTCTCATAATTTTATTCAATTGTTGATGTACAATATATACACTGTGTAATCTACACATGGTATATTGGATATGGATCTAATCTCCTAGTTATGGTATATCTCCTAATTATGGGGTAAGTGATAACAATATCTTCCAAGAATCATGGCATATCTTTGACTTAATTTCCAATATAATCCAGTTAGCCAACTCCTAAAAAATCAAATGAATAAATAAACTTTGCCAAAGCTACATCTCAACGTTCACAATAAATATTAATAATTTGGAAAAGACTTAAACGTTATTGAAATTTTAATGATCAACTAGGGCAGTAAGAAAAGTGATGCTAAAAGGAGTGATTATTTTATGATTATTCAACAAGATTCAACTTTGTGAAAAAGTATTCATGCCCTAAAATTAGCCCTTTTTTTCTCCCCCTCTTTCTATTTTTTTTTCCCTTTTTTTTTTAAGGGAAGTTATCAATAGATTCTAATACTTTGACTTAATTCTCATCAAGTCTTATGAAAAATA